CAAACCAATTTTTTCAAAGACTTTGATATTTTTACTTCCATTAAAAGCTCATTTAGGCCCATTTTGCTTATCTTCCCATCATCTATCTCAAACATTTTCCATCTTATTGTGCAGAAAATTCATTTAGTTGTTCACATAGTCAAGTTTTTTTTTTTAAATCACTTTTTTTTTAGAATCTGGGACTCTGAAGAGTAATCCTACACACTTTGGTGGTTCACTTACTTTATCTCTGGTGCCACCGTGAGGTTTGAGTGAATTAAAAATAAATGTTGCACGACTCACAGCCAGTTCTGACCTGTGAACAAAATGCATCAAATTAGAATCATAATTAATCTGCTTTTCATGAATTATTAGCTGCTGCACTGCAAAAACACAAAATCCTACCAAGTACTTTTGGTCTAGTTTCTAGAGCAAATATCTTAGTACACTTGAATTAAGACAAAACTGACTTAGAAGTAACTTTTCAGCTTTAAATATTGATGAAAAAGTTCTTGTTCCACTGGCAGATTATTTACTTAAAACATGGGAAAAATGTCTTCTTATAAGTGAAATAATCTGCCAGTGGAACAAGAACTTTTTCATCAATATTAAGGAATTATTTACTTAAAATAAACTCCTATTTCCTTCTGAAAGTCACTTGTAAGTAAGTTTTGTCTTATTTCGAGTGAACTAAGATTTTGTGTTTTTGCAGTGTAACGTTTTATTGAACTGAGGAATAAAGATTTCTTAGTCATGTTTTCTAAATGCCTTCAAAAACTTTCCAAACAGAAGGTCAGATGCCTCCCAAAAGAAACCCACGATGTTTGTTAGTTTCCTAATGTTTTGCAGTTTCTTTTGGAGGCAGCAAAGAAGAAATGCCAAAAAAATACAAATACAATTGACAGAAATAGAATCAGTCACAATACAACCAGGAAACAAACTACTACCCATTGGCCCTATCAGGTCAAGTTACTGATGAGGATGATGCCAAGAGACAAATTAACATTTTTTGTATCTGTATTGTATTTTTTACCATATGAGAAAAGTCAGCAGCAACATGTAATTCTGATGAATAAAATAAGAGTTTCGTTGGGTCAGTAGACGGGTTTCCAATACAAATGTGCACAAATGTGGTCGATATTTCACTAATGTATAACAAACACAAGACCAAAAATTGGTAAAATACATTTTTTAAATAAATATTGAAAACATAAAAACATGAATTCCTTCACTTTGATTATTAAAAGGTTGTTTTCTGATTTCCTCCTTCTGTAAATGCCTCAGTCAGAGCTGAAAGTGTCTGCCTTCAGTTGGAAATTTGGGAGTTTAATCCTAAAATCCTGCACTGTGACATGTGTTGGGGGCGTTCTTGGCTAAGATTATAAAACTATTAGAGGTTCAGACAGGCTTTATGTAGCAACACAAAAAGAAGAAAGAACCGAGTTCTGGTGAGAGTTGAAAAACGGACTGGACTAACGGACTAATCCTCAGGTACACAAAGGAAACAATGCAGGGGAGTTTGTGGGAATTGGTACACAGGAATAAAAAAACATTTATATCATTAGTTTACATTTAATACTTTACCAGCTGAGTAAATCTGAGGCTCATTGGATTGTAGTTTGTTAGATTTTGAGCGGAGGAGGTAATTTAACAGCCGTTTGTTCAGGTCTTTACAGAAATAATCTGAATTTTTCTTTTCTTTAGTAAATTGCTTTGGGAATATTTGTAGCAAATTATCAGAATTGGGTTACATTTACTTGAGTAACTTTTTTTTTTTTAAGTACTTTTAGAAGTATTTTTACTATGATGTACTTTTTATTTATTTCAGTAATTTTTTTAAGTATTCCTGCTTTTACCTTAGCAAATTTTCAGTATTTTCTACCCATTGAATGAAAAACAAACATGTTTTAACCAAAAATGCACCAGACAGACACCTGCAGTTTGTGTTAAAGTTTCATCAGTTTTTTATTGAAAGAAATGATTAGGAAAAATTTTCTTTTGCCTGATTTTGTTACTTTTTGTTAGTTATATGAATTATTGTGATTCTCGTCATTAAAATACAATACTTTTCAGTTGGCTTTAAAATATTAAATGAATTTGATCAATTACTCAGTACTTGAGTAGACTTTTTACCAAATACTTTTTTACTCTTGAGTAATTTCTACATGAGTAAAAACACGTTGAAGTATTGCTGCTTTTACATGAGTTAAATCTTTGGTTATTCAATCCACCTCTGTATGAATAAACAACCTGAATTTAACTGAAGAAAAACGAGTACCAAACATGACAGTTGGAACTTAGCATTAATTTTTCTCAAGAATAATGTATGACCCACATTAATCATCAGATTGAACCGTTTTTTTGTCCTAACCAGGGAGGCTGGAGCGGCAGACACTTGGGTTTTCACCTCAACATGCAGCTGAAGCTGTCACCAAGCTACTGAATCCAGCTAGCTGAAATATAAACTTATTCAGTGACCTGGGGTCAGGTCTGCGTTTGGCAACTCGGAGTTGTGCCTACGCCAGTATTTACACAGGAGCACCATAAGAAAGCTGGTGAGGGACATTTACTCCAACATTAGTGGGTCTCGGTGGGCATATCTGAGCCGGTGTTCACAGTCTGGACTGAGTGTGGATTAGAGGAAATCCATAATAAATTAGAACTTGTGTAATTCGTGTTTTTAAGGTTGTTTGCTGCTTTATGTTTCCCAAATAAATCATTTAAGCTCAAAATTAATTTGGTTTTGATGAATTCAAATAAATTTTTGAACAGGATTAAATGGGTTTTATTCTTAGCAAATATTCTGCTATTTATGTCTGAAATAAAGTTAACACTGACAATAAAAAAACCAAAATGATAAAGTTCACAGCACCTATTTTTGATGTAAGAATAGAGATATCACCTTTTTTAGCTAGTATTTTTACTTTTGGATGATTGAAGAGGGCCTATTATGCAATATTCACATTTTGCAAGTTTTAATTCCAGCTGCTAGCAACCCAACTAACTTACTAAAATCACAAAGCTGTTTATTTGCAATAAGTTTACTTTTTGGTGTCTGGAAAATGAGCCATTTCTAAAACCTCCTGATTGTTGAGTCACATTCCACATGCTCTGCGCCGTTAGCTAGCAACCCAAGCAGAGCTCAGCCCGTTACCTAGCAACCCAAGCAGAGCTCCAGGATGTTTGCTCAGCTGGTTTTAGCGTTTTATAATGGCTGCTGAAAAAAGACAAACGTTTTGTTGTGGACTTACCATCCAGAAACCACTTGCTGCATTCTTGTTGGTTGTGCAGGAGGCTTCACTTCTGCTTTTCAAAGATTTACAGTTCTATAATTGTGTGTCTGTTTCCAGCCATTTTCACGTTTGAGTGTAAACGTAGAGTTGGAGGCGTGGCCAGCAGCAGATTATGGATTTAAAGAGACAAGACGTCCAAAAAAAGGCTCATTCTGAAAGAACTGACCTGACTGAAATCTCATCCTCTAAGAATGATTTTGTGTAAAATATGTAACAAACATGTTTCGTATAGACCATAATTCTATCCTAACCTGATCGTGGAAGCATAACAGGTCACCTTTAAGCAGATCCTGACGGCCTCTTCATCAGAAACAGATCTCCGTTATCACTGTTTCTTGTCTCCAGAGGTTTTCCAACCGTCTCTAATCCAATCCGATCCGTTATTAGCTGCATTTTTCAGCTTTATGCCAGAGCTAACAAGCCTCTGAGAACTTTAACAGCTGGGAATGTTAAAATCTCATGATGAGGATGAAGATCAATGAAAGCCGGAGCGCTCCACATAAATCATGCTGCTCTGAAAAGATGTTTTACAGCGCGCTGAAGCTCATTTGAGCGAGCAGTTCTCATGAAACCGAGGGCTCTTCTGGAATAAGTCACAATCGGCGGTGATTTTTCAAGCATTCAGTTTTATTTAATCTAAATCCCAAGTACATTTTAATGCTTGTGCAGGATGATTGATAACAGGCAGCTTTGATGCATTGCTGACAATAAGGAAAAGATTAGCGAGGAATGCTTTGCCGAACACTTTTTCGTGAAATGACATCAAATTGGGACACTGGTTCTCGAAGAGGAAACAATGAATCACTCAGATCCAGGTGCTCATTTGTTGAAGGTTGCACAAAAACAACTTCACGAGCCATTTGCTAAGCAAACACAGCTTATTCTCACAAGCAGCATGCAGACCTGACTGTAAAAACAAAAGCAAGGTGGGACGCTTTCAGTGATGGAGGAGGAGCCCGTCTGTGTGTCTGATTACAGCGAGGGGGTCAAAGGTTAAGAGGTGGCAATCAGAAGGAGTTTGAGTGACAGACGAGGTGGCTCTGTGTTTCTGTGCTTAAAGGGGCGGCAGTATTTGTTCTCCAGGTGCAAACTGCATCATTACAACAAAGGTAACACCAAAACTCTTTTCTTAGAGACTCTTAGAACAAAACAATATTCATTACAGAAACCACTTTGTTATGATCTTAATTTTGTTTGAAGAATTCAGGCTTGTCAGTCCTAATAAAGCAATAAAATGGAAAATTTAGTTTTGAGGTTAAAGGGGAAGTATTATGTGTTTTTTTTTTTTGCCATTTTGTAGCATAATTAAGCAACAATGTTTGCTTCAGTTCTTATAAAAATGCTATATATCAAATATGACTTAAGAGAAATTTCACTTTGTAATTCAACACTTTTAAATTGGGCCTCTGTCTCTTTAAAAACACCTGCTCTGTCTGAAACTTGCTCCTTTATTTTTTTACGTTTTTACCAGCACTGAACTGAGAAGTAGCTCCTATAACGAGTTCCACCAGGTGTTTGCTAATTGCTGCTGGCTAGTCTGAAGGAGCTGGGCTGAGTACAGCTGCTCTGTGAGGCAGAAGCTCTGAAACTGAATCTCTGAGGAGGAGCTTTGTCTTCGAAGGCGGAGCTAGGTCCACCCAAGCGTTTTGCACAGCTGAATGGTTACCATGGAGATTAAAGGATTCCTCAAACATACATGAAAGCAAGACAACACTCCAAGTGTGTTTTTGATGAGGGAATAACATTCTAAAATTATATAAAGACATAAAAAAAAGATTTTACACAATACTGCCCCTTTAGATTTGAACCTTGTTTGACAAGGAGGGAACAAAACGTGTGTGAATCAGAGATAAAACCCACTTTAAGGATTATTAGAGCCTCTGAGGCCTCTGGGTGGCATTAATCTGTCAGCGGCTAGAGCTGCTACGCTTAAACTTCATCAAAGTGCTCATTCTGGGTCGTTTGTCGAGTTTTCTGGTACGTTTTTCAATCTGTGCATCAGGGGAGAATCCAGCAGAGGTCCATCGGATCGAGCCGAGTCACAGAATGCAGAGTCTCACCTCCTCTTCCTCCACCAGACTCCTGGAAGGCAGAAAAACAATAAAACGTGTAAAATATCATGCAGACAACTGGCACAGGCTGTTCTGAAGGGAAACCAAACACCTGCTTTGTAATTTTGTTTTCAAAATGAATCAGTCAGATGGTAATTATAACTTACATATCAGCAACAAGCAGATACAAATAGTTTGTCAGATATTTATGGAGAAGTGGCACGTTAACAATATGAGCTCAAAATTAAATATATGAGGATATTTTTATTTAATTTCACTCTTTTACTTAAGACCGAAGTTAAATAAAAAGCATGCAGTGTCCAAATAAATCCTGTGCTTGTTTATTTACGGACAAGACGACGTCCAGAATGTTTTAAATCATCTAAGTAATAAAATTGTTTTCAATAGAATCAGTTTTTCTATAAACAGGTTTCATGTTTTTTTTTGTCATATATATTTTCACACCTCAGGTTGTTTTTACCTCCTACTCATTCAAAAGCTGATTAAACCAGTGAAACCAGTGAAGCCAGATGTTTTATGACATGTGGAGCTCAGCTCTCAGCGTGACGTAAATCGGGAAGGATCTGCGTGTGACGCAGCAGAGCGACGGCAGAATGACTTACAGCCAAACGTTGCTCACATTGTCAGCAAACTGAAGCACCAAGCATCTGCTGGAGCTGCTATGAAAGACGTTCAAGGGCCATTAGCCCCCCAGTAAGGGCAAACTGGGGTAGTTGGTGTGTGTGGTGGAGGCCATTTAAACCAAAAAAAAAATCATTTCCTATTTATGGATCTAATTAAGGATAACAAAACATCCAATATATAAAGAAAAGTAGGGAAAACATTGGAGGAGGGTTTATTGTGTGAATCAACTGGAGCTGTGGAGCATTAATAAATGAGTCTAATGAGGGGTGCTGACATTAAAGGGGCAGTGCAGAGCAGAGCAGAAAGTAAAATCTCTTCTAAAAGTGACCTATTATGCTTCCTTGAACAGGTTAGGATACAAAATATGTTCATTACATTTCTTGCAAAAACATATTCTCAGATAATGATATTTCTGTTGTTGATTCTGCTTAATTTGGTACTCCTGTCACTTTAAATCCAAACGAGCTGCTGCCCCAAACCAACATTTACACTCGCACGTGAAAATGGCAGCAAACAGACGCACAATTATACAACCATGCATCTTTGAAAAGCAGAAGTGGAGCCTCCTGCACAACCAACAAGAACACAGCAAGTGGTTTATAGATGGTAAGTCTAGTTTTTTTCCAGCAGCCATTGTAGAGCAGTGAAATCAGCTGAGCAAACATGCTTGGGTTGCTAGGTAATAGGGCAGGGGTTGCTAGGTAACGGAGCAGTACCCGTCAAATGTGACTTAACTGGGAGGTTTTTGAAATGGCTCGTTTTCCAGACACCAAAAACGTCAAATTATTACTCTAAAATGGCTGAGTGGATCCTTTGAGCACTTCAGGGGTTTGAGACCCAAATGGAAGAACAAAAACTTGCATATGTGTGAATTTAATTTTCCTGCAGTTTCTTTTAAATAAGAGATGATCCCTGTAATCTTGGATCAAAAAAAGTTGCAGTAAATTTTTATCCAATCAGTGTTACTGTCTTCGTCATGAATGTGAGGATGTCTGGGTGAGCGTTTAGTGCTTGGGTGGTTTTAGAAGCATTTGAGACCCAAATGGAAGTATAAAAACATGCAAAATGTGAATTTTGCATAATAGGTCCCCATTAACTCTCATGGATCTCAGCTCCAAACACAGCAGGGCCCCCTGCAGGTCAGAGGCGGTGGCACAGGGAGCAGGGGGGGCAAGAGGATGTCTGTGGCAACGACTTGGGATGGCAGAAGTGCGTCACTTCACATAGCAGGATGGCAGATGGTTGAACAACCTTAGTGAACTGAGGGAAATGACAAGAAAGCCTCAAGGCCATATGCAGGAAGCTGCTTCACTTCCAGAAGCTGTTTCCTGTGACCCGGGCAGACATGGATGTCAAGCCTGTCTGAGGAACATCTTAAAAAGAAACTGCGGATTTCCAGGCTAAACTACGTGAGATGGGCCACGAAATAAACTTTAAGTTTCTCCCCCGGATGATTTCATACCGACATGCAGAGGGGAGTAAAAGTCTTATGGTTTGGCTCCAAACGAGAGGCTGAGCAGCATTAAACATAAAAAACAAAACAAAATACATTCAGAAGCCCTCAGTGGAGCCTTTCATTAGAATAAATGAACATTTCTAGTTCTCATTACTACCATAAACTTCACCTGTTAAGTCCACAATATACAAATTTAGCTTTTGTGGAAAGAAGAAGAGTTAAGAAATTCAGAAGTCAAAGTTACTGTAAAAGACAATAGGAACTCGTGGAAAAAGACACTCTGACAAGAGGAAATGAAAATAAGGAGGACAAAAATGGTATTCAACCAAAAAAGTTGGCGTTTGTGCTGCTTCAGCTTTAAAATGCTAACCCAGAAATGCAAAGAGCTCCAGTTTCTAAACCAGGATGTTTACGGTTTCATCAGGATCAAAACATTCACCCAAATTTGTTAGAGTTGTGTTACAATGAAGATGCTTCATTATGACTTTAAACATCCATTCATTAGCCTCCTATTTGTTCAGATTTCACGTTAGCTCCCGCTAACGGTGTTAGCTCCCGCTAACGGTGTTAGCTCTGGCTAATATAGTCCATCACAGTGTTTCTCAACCCTGGTCCTCACCGCCCCCCTGTCCTGCATGTTTTAGGTATTTCCCTTCTGCCACACCTGAATTGTATCTCTGGGTGATTAACAGGCTTCTGCAGTACTTGATGGTCATGTAATCATTTGAATCAGCTGTTCTGGAATAGAGGCACATCTAAAACATGCAGAGTAAGGGGGCCTGAGAAGTACTGGTCCATCGTGTTTGTTTGTTTCAACAGATACATTGAGTATAACGGCACATGAAAAATTTGGGGGAAAGTGGTAAACTCCAAAAGCGAAACATGTAACAGACAATTTCTGAAGTAGTTATGAGTTTTTACGTACCCAAAGCAACAAATTTTACGTTGATAGAAAAAACACAACATAGTTACGGGAACATGTTCAACTCGTTGTGGTTCATGTTCAGATTTTTATAAGTGTTTTTCTTAGCTAAAATGTGAAAAATTAATGTTTCATGTTCCCTCTTTCTCACAATTAGTCAGACTTCCTTTATTGTCATTGTGCAAGAAAGCACAATTTATAAAGTAGCAACTCTCAAAGGCAGCGCAAATATATAAATACATAATAAAAGACGAATATATTTTAATAAATATGAATAACCATAGTAGGACCACACAGAAACAACTGGGATGTTAAGGAAAAAAATTATGTTGATCAGCATTGATTTGCTGTGTTCAGGGGATAAAATCCCTAAACATACGGTGAAGTTTGTGATTTTAACCTGCTAATATCTGTAAATGTTCACGGGGTGAGAGTATCTTTGCATGGTACTGTGAATATCCATTTTTTTCTGATACAGAACAAACATCAAACTCAGCATCCAGTAGATTAAAATCTAAGATAAACATGCCGGGACCACCATGCGCTGTTCTTCAAACCCACCAGAAGACGCTTCCTAAAGGGGAACATTGTTGAGCACCATCTGTTTCCATCTGACCCCCTACCATGGAGAAACACTTTCACAAAAGATGTCAGGATCTGTGGGTTATAACTGCAACCAGACTTAATGAGGACATGCAAGAGGATGACAAACTTATCAGAGAAATCACTTTGTGCTGTGTTTTTCTTTTAATAAAGAAACCCACCATGCCTTCCCTTTGACTGACAGTCACACTAACAATCAAACTTAACTTTCCATAAATCTTCCCAATTCTCTACTGTAAACCCTTGCGGCAACGGCACGATGAGTGTGCTAAGATATTACTACAACGGTGAGCTTTGTACTTATGATTGAGACCCTGCAAGGAAAAAGCTGAAAAGTTTAACATTGTTTTCACAACCAACCACAGGGAAAAAAGCTGTACCTTCCTTCTGCTAGCCAGCTACATTGTGATTAAATTAGCTTTAAACTACAACATAAAAACTGTGACATGCCCCCCTTTTACATAGTTATCTCTTTATTTGAAAAAGAAATCAGTAAAAATATTCTGTGTATGACTGAAAAGTTAGTTATGCTAACCCTCAGGTGCTAACATTAGAACCGCTAACACTGCTGTGCTATATATCAAAACAGAAATTAGCGGAAGCTAATGCTAAAGCGGTAACTTCAAATCAAATTATATCTGCCCTTGAAAGACTACAGCTCTCAAGCATTTAATTTTGACATTATAATTTATATGTTCTAATATACCCTTAAATATTGAGTTTATGTTTATATATTGTTCATTATAATGTACATTGAAAAATCAATTTAGGGGAAGCTAAGTGTATTTTCAAGGCTGGGAAAAGAGCTAAACAAAATTAGCTCCACTACTAGTTAATTTGCAGATTAGCAACTGTGCGCTATTACATTGGATCACACCCACCAAGTTCATCCAGAACCAGGCAGACAGACATGTTTGGGTTGTCAGAGAGTTTTCCAGGTAAAAAGGCAAATAAACCAAATTTAGCTTGACCAATAGAAATACTCTCGAGAGAAAATTGTTGACTCTTCTGTAGGAAGTAGCTACTTTTTCCTAAAAGCCTCCTAAAAGTTTACAATTTCTAATAACTCTTAATTAGACCTTTATCTGCTGACTTCAGGATGATTGGAGTTTATTTTCATGTGCAGGTGGGCGTCATCTTTTCTTACCTGTAAGCTGCAATCTCCATGTCTCTTGCCATCTTCTGACTGAGCAGCTCCCTGTATTCCTCACACTGCTCTTTCATCTGGGATTTGAAGTCAACCTCCTGCTGCTTCATTTCTGTTATAGTAAACTAAACAACAGACAATTTGGAGTGTTTAAAAAAAAAAAAACAAGGAGGTGAAGTTAGAAAGTCTGCATCAAGAGTCCCAATCCCATACCTCCAACTCTTCAACCTCATCCTTGTACGCAGCCCCTTTCACCTCAACTTCATCCAACAGCTCCTCGTTACTCTTTTCCAGATCATCGAGTTCCTTCTGCAACTCCGAAATCTGCAGAAAGACACCCAACACCAGCCGTCCATTTACATTATGACGCTTTCTGCTATTAATGTGCTTTTTTCTGAAATCCTAAAAACAACAAATCAACTTAAAACTGTCATTTAATGGTTTATTAGAAAAAACTTCGTTCCAATTGGTTAGTTAATAACGTCCATTTAGACTTTATGTTGTAGTTTGGGCGCCATCCAGCAGAGGGTGCTGCCGGTCATTCTTCAGCAGAACGTTGATTTTTTTTTTTTTTTTTTTTAATCAAAGATGGCGGCCATGCCAGAACAGGGAAAAGAAACGGTCCACACTAGAGTTCGGTTTGGGATTCAAAATGCACTCAAAGAAGTTTCGTTCTGAAATATAAACAATGGACAAACTCCTCAAGTTTCACCTTAAAAGTTCTCATTCAGACGGGTTGCATTCGGGAGCAACGTCAATGGCGACGGCAGAAAAGTGGAGGGGAGTAATAGGAACCAGCTACCCGCTAAGCTTGTTGTCATGGCAACTCCATAGCAACTAGTTGCAAAGTTCACGGAAGTATTATTCTGTATTCTTTTCCTCTTATTTTTCTATTTAGCAACCAAGAGGTTCCAGTTTGTTTTGTGTAATAAATATGTCTAGGTTTATTATTGTGAGAAAAACACAATTTTGTGTTCATTCAGTTAGTATTTAATACAGCTGATACAAAATGTTAAAATTTAATATATTTTTTTAAAATTCAGCATTATGAAAGCCTTTCATGTTATTGAAAGATGGTCGGCCTCTTGCTAAATAAATTGATCTATATAAGATGAATCAACTTTTGATTATCAGCAACCTAACTTTACTTAACATAGAGATGATGAATATGGGTGAATCTTTATTCACCCATATTCATAAATTGTGCTTGATTCCTTGAACATCCCATTAAAAAACAACACACCAACATCTGGCATAAAATATTGATGCCTGTAATTATTTAAACGCAGTAAATGCAATGATTGTTGGATGTATTCTGTATTTAGTCATATTTCTGACCACCTGATGACCACAAATCCCAAATTTTCTTGTCGTTCAGCTCTGATTTAGCCTTATTAGAGCCGTTTAACAATGCTTACAGCTATGTCAGTACAATGCCCCACCAATGTGATCCAGATGGGAATATCTCGATCTATGGTTAATGGATTGCCATCAAAATTCATGCAGACATTCATTGTTTCCAGATGACGACTCCCACTGACTTTGGTGATCCCCCGACAATTCATCCTGCCCTACCACAAGGTTCACATTTGTGGTTTTAGGGTGAAATGCTTCAGCATTAAATGGATAATTTGCGATGGTCATCATGACTGTAAGACTTTCATGCCTACAATCGCTGCGAAACGGGAAGAGGGGAGATCAATTTGTAATTTATAAAACCAGATCAATGAGCTGCAATGAATAGTTACCTAAAACTAACACTTGCAACATTTAATAATGCTGTACAAAAGAGCTGAAGTATTGAAAGCAACTTTCCTTTAAAGTGGTTTTGATCTATATTTATTAAAACCAATCAAGTTTTGATCCAAAGGTTTCTGACTCCTTTGGACTCAGGTTGCTTTTTCACCACTTTCTCAGGACAAAGGCCATTTAGACAAACATTTTGTTTCCCTAAGTCACTTAAGATTCACCAAACTCATGAAAATGAAGTGGTGTAAGTCGAGCTCCTCATATAATACACTTATTTTTGTGTTTTTGTGCATTTAATCATTTTTTACACTTATCTCTTCCCTAAAGATATACTGTAATTTAGCTACACCCTATAAGCCACAAAATGGGTGAACAACATGCGGTACGCAGGCCATTGATTAAAAAAAAATGCTAGTTCCATTGATGGATTATTTAATTTGGAACAAGACTTTTTTCCCCATGTTATAAGTGAAGTAATCTGTCCATGGAAATATGATTTGATTATCTTGTTCCACCTAAAAATCAGACTACTTTGTTTAATTGAAATATTGTGAGTTCAGTTTTTTGCTGGATGGGTCAAATGTTTCTGTAAAATTATTGTCCTGCTTTTAATTTAAAATCTGAGGCCAACAAGAACTTTCAACTTGATGACTTTGGCAAAAACTTTGGATATCAGTGAGAGGACAGAGAAACTCCAGATTTATATAACTTTAAGAAATTAGTAGAAAGTCTGGCTCCTTGGATGCAGAATAAGCACTTTCACAGCTTACTGTTTCATCACAGTAACTTGATTCATTTCTGTCCTAGAAATGATAAAATAATAGTGAGCTGGAGCTACTAAGAACAAAATCAACAAACACAAAAAGCCAAGGTTAGCTTATAGGAGCATCCCTCCCTCAGTGTCGGTGTCTGTGTTGCCCTGCCATGAGTAATTGCAGCAATCATATAAGTTCAACAATTATCTGTCCCAACCAGATGGGGATCAGGCTCACATTTCAGAGGAACCATCTGAGCAGAGGAAAACCTGGCTCCTGATGACTCCCCAAACCGGCTGAGCCACCTGAGAGTCCTCTCCTCCTTCCCCCTGGCATGATGAGTGGAGTGGAGTCAAGCCTGTATATGCGAGCAGCGCCTTTGGACGCCATCACTGCCTGCTCTATTATATACAGTCCTGAGTCGGGCCTGATTTCACTGCAATGTGTTTGTTTGGTCATGTTGTGTCTCAGTGAGAAACCAGAGCCTGAGCATCCATCAGAGGCGAGAGAGGAAGCAGAGCAGGTCGAGTTGAGCTGTCCATCCGTCAGGCGGCGCTGGCTGACCTTAGCGGCGCTCATGTTGGAGAGAAGTGGATGATGGTGGAGGAGCTGTGCTGTGGTTTCAGAGGCTCTGTGTTTATTTAAAGAGCTGGAAGTGGAGCCGCAGCCTCGGTAATGAGAACCAACCCACCAGGTTTGCTACTGATGTGGTCAGCTGTGGTGAAACCGCTGATGGATGTTAAAGATGACCTGTTATGCTTCCTTGAACAGGTTAGGAAATTTATGGGCTACACAAAACAAGTTGATTACAAAATCATTCTTAGATAATGAGATTTTAGTTTAGTCAATTCTGCCCATTTGGAGCTCCTTTTATGGCTTTTTATCTCTTTAAATCCAAATAATCTGCTGCTGGCCACGCCCCCAACTCAACATTTATACTCACACATGAAAATGCCTGCAAATGCCTGTACATCTTTTAAAAGCAGAAGTGGGGCCTCCTGCACAACCAGCAACAATGCAGCAAGTGGTTTCTGGATGGTAAGTCAACAAAAAACAATGTTAGCACTGCTTAGAGCAGGAAAATATATAAAAAACTATACATATCTTGGTAGACATGTGATCAATATCAATAGATAATACATCTGATAGAATATTCAATACATTGGCAAGAGTTGCTAGGAAACGGAGGTAGGCTTGGCAGGGGTTGCTAGGTAACGGCATATACTCCTAAGTGACTTAACAATCCGGACACTTTTGAAGCAGACACCAAAACACAGTAACTTATTGCCAAAAAATGTCTGGGTGTTTGTTTCTTTTAAGCACTGTGGCTGTTTAGAAGCAGTAGAAGCCCAAATGGAGTGTAAAAACGTAAAATATGTGAATTTTACATAATAGTTCCCATTTTTAAAGAGAACAAGAGGAATCTGAGAAGGAGGTGGTTTTCATCTGGTGACTTCACCTGAGTCACATTATCTTTCTGTAATATCTTCTGGGATCTTTTTGTATGAGGATGGGTATAAAATGGGTGATCAAGATTTATTTCCATTTTTCAAATCACAACATATGTCTTGAGGCAGTGAGTGTATAAACCTTTCAGACTTTTATGACTTTGGAGCCAATCTGTAAGCCTGTGGTTAATAACCAAGGCCACTAAGGGAGATAAATCCTGTCTGGGCTGCAGACGGGCCCTTCACATCGCCTGCTGAAAGTGTCTTCAGAGTAAACACTCAGGATCTCCCACACTGCTGCGCCTCTGTCACTCAGCTGCTCCTCGCCTGCTGTGGGAAACCATTCTGTTTCAGGCTGTGATACGAACCCATGGATTTAACTCTTATCTGATCTTTGTCAATAAAGAAGTTCAGAATGCATAATTAGAGGATGTAGACCAGTGTCAAAACCCTTGAAAAATAACCATCTTGTGAAAAAAATGAAAGTATGTTGTTCATCTATAACAAAATGGTTAGTACAAAGAACCTAAATAAGGGAAGTTATTTTGAAAAATGTGAATTTTACATATTTTTGTGCAGCCATTTGGGTTTCAACTGCTTCTAAAAACAGCCAAAGCGCTAAAAAAAACATCTAGCCGTTTTTGGCAATAAGTTTGTGATTTTTGGTGTCTGGAAAAGTGCCATTTCAAAACCTTCCCAGCAACCCCATCAAAGCTCAGCCTGTTACCTAGCAACCCATGCTAAACTCCAGCATGTTTGGTCAGCTGGTTTTACCGCTATATGTGTTGTACAATGGCTGCTGAAGTAGACAAGTGTTTTGTTGTTGACTTATCATCCAGAAACCACTTACTGCTTTCTTGTTGGTTGTGCAGGACGCTCTACTTACGCTTTTCAAAGACGTTCGGTTGTATAATTGCGTATCTGTTTGCATCCATTTTTATGTGCAAGTGCAAACATTAAATTGGGGGGGGGGGGGTGGCCAGCAGCAGCTTATGTGGATTTAAAGTGACAAGACACCCTAAAACAGCTCAATCTGAAAATAGCAGACCTTGGCAGACTAAAATCTCCTTACCTAAAGACAGAACTTAAGTGAAGTTATCTCCTTAACTGTGGCACTCCATTTTAACATTAAATATTTTTTTGACTATCTACATTCCAACTAGTAAGAGTAATAATTCATTTTACGGTTCAAAATACCTTTCAAGTTAACAAATGAGGTCACTGAACCGTCATTTGAAAAGTCCCTCATCCCTAATTAATTCAAGATATCTTAAACTTAATTATGGTTAGTAAAATTTAATTTTTAGAAATCTGAATTAAGAAATTACACAGAGGCCCCTTGTGCTACAACTGAGCTGTCCAAATAGTTGCCTGTGGAAATTTAGGTTTAATCAGAAAATGCTACAACGTAGAAAGAGTTCAGCAGCATATTATATCCGGGATATGCAAACCTTTTGAACTTGAAAACTGCTTAAGTCCGCAAATAATTTACTATTTATTATCTTCCAACAAAGACAATGCATTTACAATAGATTTGAAGAGCAAAATGTACAACTGTCAACTCATTCCCAAGCTGAAAATTGACAATTTATGAAAAAACTTCTAGTTTTTTTTCATTGAAATTTCAAAATGACAGACATCTTTGTTATTACAAGGGAAGCTCCTGCTCAACGAAGAACTCTGGAAAATTATATTTAATACTTGCATAAGACACACATGAGTTCTTGCAGTAGTCTGCAGGGATTGTTTAGAAGTAAAAATTACCTGATCTGACCCAGAAAATCTTTTAAATTTCTTCACGTGGCTACACTTTTTGTAATTTGGATGCCTTTCTCTTTTAATGGAGCTAATAAGAGGAGGAAGCTCACTCACCAGAGTCTTCATCTCGTCCACATCAGTTATCTCTGTTGGGTCTTTGACCATTGACCCACCAGTTCCTCTCGCTCCCAGTTTCTTTCCATCGCCTTTGCCAGAGGAGAGCGCATCAAACTCCAGCTGAAGAAACAAACGATTAGGAGACAGAGCAGTCATATAAGTTTGCAAAGTTGAAAATCAGAGAGATCACAGAGGCGTCTCATTGAGTAAGGTAAGTGCACTTTGACAGATGGAGCAAAAAGCCCCTTCAGAGAGGTGGATGAGCAAAGCTCTCTTCATGCACCTGATTTGTAATTACATTGGAGGGGAAACAGCCGAAACAGGCAACATGAGGGCGCACAGGTGTGTGGGACGCAGCCAACAATCACCATTCCTGTTTAAATCCAACAGCAATCATTTGAACATCAAGACAATCGTGTCTCGTAATTGAGGCCAGGCGCAGACAGGACGCCGTCCAGCTGGCAGAGGAAGACGCCGAGTGGGAGGGAGAGAGTAAATAGACGGGATTTAGGCAGAAAAACCAGAACACAGTCACTTCGGGACAGACACTAGCCTGGCAACTGCTTTCCTACACAAATCAACTTTGTTGTAATGTTGCTCCATCTGCGATTTCTTCTTTGTTTCAATGGCGGTCGGCAAACAACTGTTGGAAGCATTACTGCCACCAAGTGGTAAGGAGTGTGGACCACAAAGCGACAAAAAATGCAACAAAAGATTAGATCCTGTTGCTCAATTTACATCGTCTTCAGAAATAAAAGAGCCTGGTAGCGTTGGCTTCAGGCCAAAGCTAGCAACGATATCTAGTTTTATTTTCATTTGCTAAGATTTTTAATCCGTTTGGGCTTTCTCCTAGTGAAGTGGATTTCTCCACCGGGCCAATCAGTGAACAGAAGAAACTCTGAATAACGACGTTGGTTTTCTCTGCTGTAGCCTGCCTGTAGTTTTAGCAGTAGCAGCGGGGGAAGTGAACGAAACTGTTCAGTACACGTTGATCGCGCTTCTAAATATTAATGTAACATTAACAGCCATCTTGTTCGGTTCAACATTGGAGGATGATTGCTTGCAGCGCAGGCCATTTCCGGTAAGCTTCATAGCGTCAAAATGGCACATGACATACGTCACAGGCAAACGCTACTGGTTGAGTAACCAGTAACTGTTTAGTTTAGTTCACTTTAATTAAACTCTAGTTCATTTGTCTAGAAAGTCCACTTTGTTTGGGGAGATGTGAACGCGCAATCGAACTCTGATGTGGAACAAAAAAGCAAATTCTGGTCCGTTTGAAAACCTCAGTGTCAGTTCAGCTGAAGTTAATGCTGATCCGTAAATGCAAAGCAGGCTGGAAATCCCTCCAAAAGCAGAAAAAGAACAATAGCGCAGGGCATTCTGGGTAAATACAACCAAAACAAAAGCGTATCGCTAGCAGGACAAATGGTTTGTGGTTTTTGCCAAACACAAAAATGAAATCCTTCAACCTCTACAAACTGATGCTAGTCCATTCTGTACTTCTTTTTTTTCTTTTTTGAGAAAGAAGTTGCGCTCAGCGTCTTCTTCACAGGTTTTCTTGTTATTTTCTTCAGTGGTTCTTGGTGCAGCGCCACCACAGGTGAGAAAGGGAACATGTCTTTCAAAAGATTTGGTTCATTTGACACAGTGCAATATGAAAGTGAACCACAGCAGCTGAAAATGTAAAAATGTTGCAATTTTTGTCCCCAGTCGACCCAGTCTACTGGACTACCAGGTGTGAAAACAACCTGAAACTTCAACCGAGTCCAGGCCTCCAGGAAGTAATCGTTTCTCAACAGCCGAGAGCCCAGGCCCTCTGAATGAAGCGTTGAACAAGAGGCTGGTTGTACCGGTATAGTCAGACACACAGATGATTCAAATAAAAATGGATCAGATATTCTTCTCTAATGCCTCTGAAACGTCCAGTCCGGAGCTGAGAGGGAGCCTGGGAAGGCGGCCTGCAGTCTGATTACAGCTCTGACCTCTGAACCGGCAGACATCCTCACCCCAGACGGGGTCAGACCCACCGGAGTTCCAGCCTGACCTCGGTGCTGTACCACAGCAACTACAGAGGTGGACGAAAGCCGTTCCGTCCGGGTCCAGAACTACAAGCCCGACTCTCAGGTTCTCCTCCTCTGTTGTGCTAAGAGGTAAAGAAAACAAGTCGGGGTGTCGCAGCATGATTTGTGAAAGCTGAGATTTATGTTGGGGGAAGAAGAGGAGGTGATCAGCAAAGAGGATGAGGAGCAGCTGTCAGAAGGACCTTAATTAAATAAGAATCATACCAAAACATAAATACCAAAACGTGCAATTCAGGATTCATAAATGCACGAACATTTTACTCAAGTAAAAAGAAAAAGTAGCTGTCCAAGAAATGACTAAAGTAAGAGTAAAATTTGCATTTTGCATGTTTTTGTACCTCCATTTGGGTCTTAGCTGCTTCTAAAAACAGACCACATGCTTAAAAAACACTCAGACATTTTGGTCAATAATTATTGAACATTAACATTAATTAGAAGAACATTAACTTATAAGTTAATGTTCTTAGGTCTCTTCAAAACGAGGAGCTAAGTGAGAATCAATGGGCACTAAGCCGTTACCTAGCAACCCCAGCCAGCCCAGCCCGTTGCCTAGCAACCCAAGCTGAGCGCCAACCAACACGTTTGGTCAGCTAGTCTTACTGCTTTATTCGCTGTACAGAGGAGGATAGAGTACTCAAAAACTGTAGCACTTATTCAATGTATTTTTACTCAAGAATAAGAAGCTATTTAAGAAATTACTCAAGTAACAGTAAAAAATTATTTGGTAAAAAAGCTACTAAAGTACTGAATTACTGATCAAACGTTCAATCATTTCACATTTATCTCACCAGCTGAAACATAATATAAAGGCTTTTGGAGAACTAAAGTAATATAATTATTACAGCATAACAACAAAATAAAATCAGGCAAAAGAAACAGTTATACAAACAAATTTATTTCAATATAAAACTATGAAACTAACAAAAACATCTGTCTGAGTTTTTGGTTAAAACAAGCTTGTTCTTCATCCAGTGAAGTTACTAACAATACCTGCATTTCCATTTCCACAGAACTGCACAAACTGGAATGGAAACACGGCAATTAAAAAAACCCTCACATTTTTCAATAAGTTTTCTGATAGTATGACAACCAACCAGGTGTTTTTACTGGCGGAAAAGACAAAGACGGGAAGAAGCAGGAGGAATGTATGTTTTTTAATAACTCATCACGTGAATAAACGTGATGAGTTATTTGTGGTTTTAATTGTGTTTCTTAGTGAATGAAAACATGGCAATTGCAAAAATGTGCTTTTTCAATGTTAGCAGATTATCGACAAAGCTTTGCCTACATTTGTAAAGGAAATGCAGCCAGAAATTTTAATATAGTAAAAGTATCGATACTTCAAAATACAATTACTTATTATAATTACAGCAGACTAAAAATACTCCTTTTTTCCAGAAAGTTACTCCGGTAAATGTAACTAGCCACTACCAAACTCTGCAGGATGATTATTTTTTTATTAGGTTTATCTGGACACATCCTTGAATATCAAACTTCCTTGTTTCATGTTTCGTGTTTCGTACCTGGAGGCTCTCGGCCAGCTGGCGGTGGTACTCCTTCACTTCCAGGGCTGCGGTGATGTCAGGGCTGCCAAACCTGATCGCAGCTGCAGCCAGCGCCTTTTCATCTGGCTGCAGCTGGCTCTGGACCTCCTGCATGGACATCCAACACATAGATAAGCACATTGATGGTCCTCATGATGCAGCAACTGTTATTCAATACGGTATGAGAAGCAACGGCGCATCCAGTTCATTATTCTTTTGATTTCCTGTTTGTCTCTTTGACATATTAAAAAAGTTACAAAAACAAGAAGCTGAACAAATCGGAGCCAACAAACTTTATTTTCAATTCCTTAAAGATTTAAAACTCCTTCATTTAAATGAACTGAGGAGTTTGCAGCAAAATCCTGGAAAACAACTGAAAATGTTCTCACTATTTCCATTTAGTGCTTCAATTTGTGTATACACCGAGATATTTAAGTTGTTAGAAAAGCTTTAATTGTAACTTTTAGGTCAGAATAATTTTGTATTTTCCACAAAAGAATCTGTACATGAATGTTTCCTTTAGTGCCAACTAAAGGAAATAAATCGAGACGTCGCAACTATAAATAAAGTATCATGTGGTTGGCAAACTTCTGCTAATTCGTTAATAGCGAGCAAATTTTTTAATTTAGCGTTTTGCTAACTTTGAAAAACATCAGCACTCTTAGTTTCCTCTAATCTAATGTTTCCAGAGAAATTCTTACCTGGCTGTTTTGTAAACTTTTAGTTGAATAAAGTTCGACTTCTGGTTGATGTTTTGGTTATTGAGTTCTTCAAGTAGGGAGCCGTTTAAATTGATGCTCTTATTTTGAAGGGGATGAAAACTGTTTGCAGCACAAGCCTCACCTTCTTTTTATTTTTTATTTCAAACAAGAAACATACATTAACAAAATAAAATAAGATACAAACATTAACATAATTATTATAGAACATGTAAATATAATGTCAAAATTAAATTGGTGCTTAAGGTTTATAATCTTTCAAGGGCAGACATGATTTGAATTGAATTTAGCGCTTTAGATTTAGCTTCTGCTAAAACCATGTTGGTATTATTGTGCATTATCAGTTCAGTGCGTTAGTGAAACTACGATCATAATAAGAAAAACAAAGTAACGAGAATAAATTCCTAATATCACAGGAATAAAGTCGTAGTATTACGAGTACAAAATCGCACAAGAATAAAGTTTAACTAATATAGAAATAAAGTCATAATAATGAGAATAAAGCCCTAATATTTTGAGAATAAAGTTGTAATATTACTTTATACTGATAATAATTTGACTATTCTTGTATTATTTCAACTTTATACTCGTATAATTGTATTCTTGCATCATTATGACTTTGTTCTCATATTATTTTGACTTTATTCTTGTAATTTTATTTTTTTTATCGTCACAGTGAAACTAATGTTAGCGCTGCTAACTGTTTAGTTAGCATTGCTCACCAGTGAGATACTGGAAAGACGAGTAAAACTGTACAATTAAAGCCAAGTGGATGAGAGAACAAGAGCCTGAAATCATGTAAAATAAACCGAGTATGCTGTTAAAGCTGAACACACCTCCAGCGCAGCAACAAGCTCTGCATGGGTTTCTTCATCATTGAATGGAGTTACCCCTTCATTATTCAGATGCAACATTTTTCTGCAGCTGAATAATGACTCCTGATTTGTCAGGAGAAATTGGACGTCCACAAAGCAAACTGATTTCTGTTTTTATTTGAGGTTTAGCCACATTTCCCACACTGCGAGTTGTGGTCCAGAGGGAGTGGGCGGGTTTCAGGGCCGGGCAGCAGCGGGAAAGATGGAGCCGCTCCGGGTTCGGCTGGGCTGCGTCTGTCATCTTCTGGTGAGGCGGAGGATCGCTGCGAGGCGCAGCGACGACGCATGGATGCAAACAAAGTTATTTTAAAGGACCGCTTCACTATTTTGGCAAAAGAACAAGCAAATAGTTAATTTCGCTGCATTGTGTGTTTGGTAAATATAAAGACTGTGCAGATGTTGGCTGTAAACCAGCTGTCACCAAATGCATTAAAGTTTCTCTCTGTTTCGAGTTCAAATGAAAACTAAAATATCTTAAAATAGCCACAAAAACTGCCTTCAAATAAAACCAAATTCCTCAGATTTCCAGGTTATTATAGTGAAAAAAGACTTTTTAATTAATTTGTCACAGGTAATATTGAAAATGACCGAGATGTGAAGCTTTGAGAACTGTGCTAATATCCCCCAGGTTCGCTGATGGACAGCTCTGATTAAACGCTGCTTTGCTCTCTAATTTTTCTGGATCTTCAAAGGACTTTAAAACTTCTGCTGAAAGGTTAAACAGGGATTTTTCAAGTCGTTACGTTGTGAGATAAAAAGAACCAAACACACCTTTAATCAAGTAGTTCATTAACTTTAGACAATCAAACTCTCATTTAGAGCGTTAGATATTTTTAAGCTTCCATAGTTAATATATTTATGCTTAAAAAACATTTCAGCAGCTTATACCTAAAAGATCAACTTATTTTTAGTTTAAGGTGTTTCAGACTTACTTCAGGCACATGAATGAAAGGAAAAACACTTTTTTGTACAAACTTGTAGCATTTTAGCTTTGCAGAAAAAAATCCATAATTGCTATGGAAAACAGAAATTTGAAAAAGAAAGCTAAATAATTAAAAGTGGAAACCCCCAGAAGGAAGCTGATCTGTTATTTGTGTCTGACTCATCGGTGACTCCCTCGTTTTGTCCTTTAATCTGCAGGATGTTGATTCATGATGAAAGCAAACGGGACAAAAAGAGGAAAGTTGTACTTCCACTGAGGCTTTATCTTGATTTTTTTCTTTTAATTTATCTCTACTGACAGTTTTTACAGGAATTAACCCAATAACGGCCTTAAAAACACTATTAATGACATTCCTTAAATGTGTTTTTATGTTACCAAGTTGTGCACAGTCGGATTATTTGAAGCAGAACAATTTAGTGTTAGGAACAAAAAAGTGATCAAGTGTTTCCATATTTCTCATTTATTTTTGTTTTATGTAGTCAGAATTGCAGGAAAAAAGTTGCTGAGGTGATTTTAACACTACCAATAATAAAGTCAAGGACAGAAAGACTAAAAATAGTTTCCACCCAAAAGCTTTAGTTGCCCTGAAAACAGCAAATCCATACAAAACCTGATCTTTATTTAGTTATTTATCTGTTTAGTTATTTTTTAATCCCAGTTCTTCTGTTTCTTTGATAGTTACTTTTTTTTTAGATGTTGTTGTGCTTTATTTGTAAACGACATTAAAATTAATTCTGATTCTTCTCTTGTTTACAAAATGTGAATAATTTACACAATTCAACTCAGATTTTGTTGCGTAAATCTAACCACAGCCAGACTTCTGCGTGAACGGGTTACGTCTCTAAAGCGACGCGCGTAGAAGAACGTCACAGAGCAGCCCAGTGTTTACAGAAGCAGTAACGGACGCCGCCATTTTAAAGTTTACTCACAATGAGAGCCCAGGATCATAAAAGGAATCTAATAAGAAAGCTCAGCTAACAGCAACGGCTTTTTATGCAGGATTGATGTTAATTCCTGTAACATCCGTTTGGATCAGAACTAAGAGTGGTGGGATCCGTTTCACGGACAAAAAAAAACCTCTTTCATAAATTTCATAATTATAATTTTCATACATTTATGGGAAGCATCCGCAGCCAAGACAAACGCTACAACAAAGAAAGCATTACGGTGGCCGACAGGTGCAAACGAGCAGCAAAATGAAAAAACAAAATAGAAGCAAAAACCTTCAATCAACAAAACAAATCCAAACCAAAAGAGAGAAAGATCTGAACAAACTCCTGCCTAAGACCAGTAGCTGTTAGCCATCAGTAGCACAAAGCTAGCGGATGTTTGGTGTAACGGAGCGGAAAGTTGGCATCGTTGTTTCTCCCTACATCCAGTGGGTGTGCCACACAGGCAAACCCACTAGAAGGAAACAAACGCACCCCGTACAACACTTTCATTGCATTGGCTGAGAAGTTGCTAGGCGACGGTGCATTTTTGTTCCAAAAGCAAGCAGAGCAGGAGAAAGGTTTGAGTAAACAATACAAGTTTTGAGAAGAAAGATGAAGTCCTGCTTTCAAAATGAAAATGTAAGTAAAAGTATTCAAAGTTTTGAGAACAAAAGAGATGAACTGTCTGAAAATGTGTGCTCTTGGATTATGGCAGAAAAATTACCCCATAAAAATGCGACATAACCGTTCAGACTTTGGATCTGATTGAAAACAATCAGATCCGAATTAGTCCCATATATATGAGTGGCAAAGTTCAGATTTTTTGGAGTTGAAAAGATGAGGATTGTGGAGAAAAAACGGATTAAAGTCGCATTAGCCTGCTGTGTGAACGTAACTTTTGATTCAGCAAATCGACTGAAGGTTGGAGTTCGTCACCACAGAAATAGTTTCTCATTTCAAACATTTTTCTGCTTCATCTGATTGATTTGTCTCACCGTCTTGTGTTGGGTCTCCATGTTGGCCAGCTGTTCTTCATAGACGGCCACCTGGTCCCTCAGAGCCAAACACTCTGCAGTCACAGCATCGACCGCCTGCAGAGGCAATCACAAGAGGAAAGTTTGAGTCTACTCTTCACTAAAACACAAAAAGACTCGCTCTAGAGTCTATTTTTGCTTCAGTATCTGGTGTGAATTGGGTTAAACTCACTGAACAGGAAGTAGACGCTGCATTGCAGAGGAAAAGTAGAAACAAAAGCTCCTAATACATTTATCAGCAGGGGGTCTCGGCTCACACACTTCCTTTTAAGGTTAATGCAGTCAGAGAGTCGGCTTTTATATTTGCACACAAGAATCCTCTTTGGGAAAATGGAAAAAAAAAATTGTGCTTTGTGAAATAAAAACCCTGAAGAATTAAGGTTTGTGTTTGTAAATCTGTAAAACTGTCCTCTGCTTGAACTCGACTCACAAAACTCTGGTGGATTTTGGCAGAACATTTAATATTTCGACTTTCCTCAACCTGGTTGGACAGCGACGCCCAAAGTGGGGCAACAGAACAGAGTATTTATAGAAACATTACTAAACGCATTTTTAAGGTTTGCTCAGAAGAAAGTAGAAACGTCGAGAGGAAAACCCGCCGTCAGGTTCTGCTTTTTAAATCCTCTGATGTTTTTGGAGCGGTGGCGTCCCGCAGGGCGCCGCTTGGCTCACCTGCATTTCCTTCCACAGCACCACTGAAACAATTAATCGATTTTTGAAATAATCATCCACTGATTTAGTAATCAATTAATCGAACACAGACTCAAAAAAGGCCAATTACTGAAAAAAAAACATATGAATCGCAGTAAATAAGAGTAAACTGTGAAAGAATAAATATATTTTGCATTTTAGATAAAAAATTATACTTTGTAAATAAAAATCGGTCACCTGGTTCAGATTCTGTAAAAAAAAAAAAAAAAATCTCCTATTAAGCTCCTTTTGCTGTCTAATTATTAATCAGTTAATCAAAAGCGATAATCAATAGATCTGTACATAGATGTTAAACAAAATGTTTTTAGCTTCAGATTATTTCTTTGCTACAAATGATGAAGAGTTCACCAAGTTAATGCTATTTTACTGCATTTTAGACAATAAAATGTTAATTTTATCATTAAAAAATGAATTTAATACATGAATTTTCTCATGTATTTCTATTATTGTACAAAATAAGTGTTAAATGAAAAAACTGCAGAATGTGCCATTTTTTTAAATCCAATTAATCGATTAACTTGCGGGACAAAAAAGTGTAAAAAAAAAAAACGTAATTAATTAAAAATTTTGAAAGATCAGAATAAAATTAAGCAAATTTGTTTGATTTTGTTGTTTTTTGTAGAAAAGTAATGTAATTAATTTTACTTTTACCTGAGTAATTTTATCATGAAGTATTTTTACTGTTACTTCAGTAAAACTTCTGGATTTGCCTGATTTTGTTATTTTCTTTTTATATGAATTATTGTCATTTTTGTCCTTAAAATACCAAACTTTCCACCTAGCTTCATAATGTGGTCCGTCTGATGATGTAATTCTTAAATATTAAGTGATAATTTGATCAGGTACTCAGTACCTGAGTAGACTTTTTACCGAATACTTTTTACTCCTGGGTTCTTGGCCGGCTTCTCTTTCCTCTTGCTTTAGTGCATTCAGAACTCTGCCCTCTTCTGACAATAAGCATCATTTATTTGGGCTCATTAAATTAAATTATTGGTTCAGTTTTCATGATTTTTTACCAGCTTTTAGTCTGAAATTGTGACATTTTCACAAAGTTTGCTTCCAGAGAAACTTTGAGAGTCATGACTCGAAACAGGTGCAAAATAATAAAACCGGACATGTTTTGTTTTTCTTTGGGAAGTTCAGCTTGTTGTGGGTTAATCTGTCCAACGCTCCCTCCTCTCCTCCACATCTCTGCTCTTCATCTACTTCCCTGCCAGATTTTCCCACCGAATATTGTCGCCCTGCAGCTGCAACCAATTCAGAGCGTCAGAACGGAGCCAGCGGCGGCATCGGGGCGCTGCAGCATCGTGAAATGTGCTACATCTGTAAGGGAGGAATCAAAGCCGCGCTCACATCTGGTCCAGCTGCGGGACGATTACTTCAGCCTGGTGTGAGGAAGAGGAGGAGTCGTGTTGATGGTTTGGTTGCTGAACAACAACTACAGGCTGCTGCTGCTGCTGAAATGCTTGACAACACCTCCACCTAGTGGCCAAGCTACATCATTACATCAGAGGTCATATTAAAATAACATTCAGACATTTTTCCCTTCGTTATTAAAACACAATAAAGCTCTTATAAATTAGGAATCCGTTACAGAAACTCAAACTACTTTATTATGACTTTAGTTTTGTTTGAAGAACTCAGGTTTATCACTCCTAATAAGGAAATAAACTTTAATATTTAGGGGTTTTTTAGGGTTTTTTTACAGGTAGCTATACAAATCATAGCTACTTGATTTGTATCACAATCAAGTAGCTATGTTACTTAAAGGATTTCAGCACACACATGAGAATGATTGACAGCGCTAAGACCCACCCCCTGGCTCTGACTGGTTGTTTCTTTTTAGCACTGGGAGAAGGCAGAGGAGCTGGATTTTTTTTTCAGATCATTTGTCTCATACTGTCACAACATGACAGCTTCAACAAATATGTAAAAACATATATTTTTTATGAAAGTTACATAATGCAGCTTTAATTAAATCACATTCCTCACGTATATTCAAGGCTCTACCTCAGATGTTTATGTTTTTCTTTCGTTTTAGAAATTCAGCAAAAGAAAATCTGATATTTTATAAAGCGGAGAACAAATTTTACCTCAGCAGCATCTTGTTGTCCCTGTTGGACGACGATCCTCTGATGTGCAGCTTTCTTAAACTCCTTCTGGAGACATTCAAGCTCTTCCTTCAGCTCCTCTGTGTCACAAATAATCTCATCCTGCAGTCAGAAGACGGACAGAACTGAAATGGGTTCTGACTGAAGTGGACGGGCGGGAATAGGAGGTGAGAAAACCTCGCCAACATGCAGCAGACACACCCTACCCTCTGCCTGCGCAGTTTTTCCACCGCTGCCTCCAAACTGAACTTCGGTTTCGCTGCAATGCAGGTGATTTCGGTGGAGCCGGGTCGACCGTTCAGATTCTCCTCCAGATCAGAGATCTGACATTCAAGAGAGCCGTTCTCCTCTTCCAAACAGTGAGCCTGAAGGCAGCGGAGCCAGAGGTGAAGAGGCAGAACAAGAAAGCTTTCTCAGTCGATAGAGAGGCACCGGTCCGATTTTAATATCTGTATTGGTTCTGAAAATGAGAGAAGTTCTAGATCGGGTATTGGTGACAATGAGCCCGACCGATAATGGCAGATCTATTCAGTCTAATTCTATGTTCTGTTATTTTACATTTACAAATCCTAATTGAACTTTAGGATTTGTAAAGTTCAATTTGTAGCAGTTTATTTTAAAATGTTTGATCAAGATAATAAATGATAAATTGTCCCAGAAGTTGTTGCGATAAACGATAATATTGTTGGTTTCAGACCACTTTCAAGTAATATAATACTGATGGCATAATACATAACACATTTTCTCAAAGATCAACGAACTTTAAATTCTAACTAACATTTAACACTGGAACTGGAAGACATTTTAAATACTCAAAATAAATAAACAAAACAAGAGAAACAACAAAAAAAATAATTCTTAAGTTTCTGTAAACAAAATTATCCTTCAAATAAAAGGGTTAGTTAAGACCAAATCACCAGACTGAAAACTTTTATCTTCCAGTTTTTGGTAGAAATGGATAAAAGAGAAAAACGATAAATCATACCAATGGAAATTGAGCTTTTTTTAAAAATATGATTAATTGATTTATTGCGATAGTAAACCTGTTGTTTTTGTCAGTTTATTATTTACTCCTAATTGTACTGACTAAACAAATTATTGTGAAGATGTTGGTGTATCCAAGTTTGGTGTACTGGTGCAAAGTTGACACATAAATTTGTAATTCAGTACATTTATGTCTATTTATTTAAAAAATAAGCATTTTAAGTCAATTCAAATGTTTTTCTGTATCGGATCGTATCAACAGAAACTAAACCTCAGATACTGTTCCCGGTGTCGACAGTGAAAAAGTGGATTAGTGCATCTCTAGTTTAATGTCTTTCCACACCAACTCAATGAGTTTGACCAGCCGGTCGTTGAGGGCAGCCATGGTGGTCCGCTCCTGGACGAACCGGTCCAGACCCACTTTGTTCAGAGCTTTGGCTGCAACAAAGTCTATCTTATCACAGCCACATTGGTCTGCAGAGGCACACCTGCAAGAAAAGCAACACAGAAACTGGACTGAAGAAGCAAAAACGTAAATCTGACATTTGTTATACGTAAAAACCTTGACTAACTGTGTTTCTATTAAAATGCTTTTGTTTCCACCATGTTATTGAAACTTCCTGTTCAGTACTTACACTCTGAGCTTGACATTATATACTTCCTTACATTGTTCAAAACAAACATTCAGATATTTATAGTCTCATTTAATGCAGGACTGCGTGTAAACACACTACACAAACACAAAGTCTTACCAAATATTTTTATCTAATTTCTAGTGCTTGAAATAAAGTGTACTTGAAATAAGAATTACACTTGAAATATTTTCTTATATCAAGTGTACTTGAAATAAGAAAATATTTGCACTAGAAACTAGATATAAAAATATAGAAAATTATTTAAAGTTTATTTTCACTGTATATTTATTTCCAGTATATATACAACCTATTTTTTAAGAATTGCACTTTTTGTTAATAATGAATAGAAAAATACATTTAGCTATGCAGAGATTTAAACATGTGGTTCAAACACGTTTTTAAATAAATGTTAAAACAGCCAGAATCTCTTTTTTTTCGGTATTAGCATAATAAAGGATGTGATGAACCCTGACCTGGCGGAGGCCTGGCGCAGCCTCGGCCCTCCGTTAGGACTCCGCCCGTCGTCGTCAAACAGCCGGCGGTACGAAGACACTCTGAGCATGGCCATGGCTCCGGATCGGGTCGGGATAAAAATGGCGTCAGTCGCGCCAAACCGGGCTTTATAACCGCAGGGAAGGTGAATGTGGCATCGAGGTGAAGCTCACTGCTTATAGCATGAACGTCATACAGTGAGGACTTCACACGTACCCGAGGAGTAAACTACTAAATCAAACTGGACAGTTATTGGGTTTTATTCCGCCTCCCACCAGTAACGACCCAGTCCCTGCAGGATGTACGTTTATGTGATTTTTTTACCGCCTAAAAAAATAAAAATGTGGTGAAAGCTTTATTTTTGCCGTGACATGGTATTTTTAAATAATGTTTTAGATTTGTGGTCTACCTGTAGTTTTAGCAATGGCGGCGAGGGAAGTGAACGAAGCCGTTCGGTCCGTGGTTCCAAATATTGACTTAATACTAACCGCCATCTTGTTCGGATCGGGACTAAAACACTAACCACCATCTTGTAGAGCCTCTTATTTTGGAGGAGACATCCCTTTATCTTTACTTTAATTTCTTTTTATTTCTTTCTCACCGTTTCTTTTTCTTAAAATCTCTCTCTCTCATTGTTTATTCAATGTCACATGCAGTTTTTATTTTAATTATGTAAAGCACTTTGAAATGCCTTGCTGCTGAAATGTGCTATACAAATACAATTTGATTGATCTTGTTCGGATCGGGACTAAAACACTAACCGCCATCTTGTTCAGATCGGCATTTCTGTTCGGAGTGGAGGACGGTTGTTTACAGCGCACGCAATTTCCGGCAAGCTTCACAGTGCAATTTCCTGTCTGCGCCTCCAGTAAGAAATTATTTTTCAATTTATACAGATAAACTTACTGAAACTTCATGAATAAGTACAACATTCTAAAATGTATCTACAAAACATAAATTTGTTTTACCAACATGTGATTCAAACGCATTTTTTAAATATTCAAAACTGACTTTTTAAAAGAGAAAGCAAATACAACTTAAAAGGGCCTAAGAATTTCAAAATGCAAAGATGCATTTCAGTAAAAGGAACAATCTTGACAATCTGTTTCTAATAGAAATTTGAAAATCATTATGAAGCGATATGCCGTTGAGTAAGTTGATATTTGAAATATTTCCATAATAGTCTTTAGAGCTGGAAAAGCAAATTTTCTCTTAATGTGAATAGGAACAAATATGAAGGTTTATATATGACATTTTATTTTATTTTTTTGTAATGTAAAGTACTCTGAACTGTCTTGTAGCTGAAATGTGTGGTGCAAATAAACTTGATACTTTCTGCCCTTTTTCTTTCAGTTGTTACATGAACAATTCACATTTATTGTGTGAATTAAATAAAACAAAATGAAAATCAAAGTGTTGAACAAGGGGCTGGTTGTATTTTTTTTTTTTTACCAGGCTGGGTCACAACAAAAATAAGTTGAAAACACGACATTGGCATTTCATCTAGTTTTATTCATCTTAAATAAATTAAAAAGTACCCAAAATATTAAAGTCGCTGTTAAATGTACCTTAAATTTATGAAACAAAAAAATGTCAGATGACGTTTTAAATCCAAAATTTAAAACTGTTCAATCACGTTTTCTTGCTAATGACAGTTTGTATTTCTACTGAAAAGATTAAGTTTCCTCAAGCAACAGTAACCATTTGGCAAAACTCACATTAATGTTTGATTTATGGTTTTCACCTTAAAGTGTGTTCTTATTGTCTCTGTAGCTTAACATTTACTGCTTTTCTGTATTTGGGTTTTCCGGACATCAGTTACTCAAGATGCTAATCGGAGGAAATGAGTGTCATGATTGTGAAAACTAAAGCTGACATTTGTCGAGAGAAACCGTTAAAGAGGAAACGTTCAACAGACTGAGGGGGGGGGAAAGTTCCTTATTTCTACAACCACATGTTTTTCAAGAGTTGGAATCGAAAAAATAGCATCTTCAGTAGCACAGCTGAGACCGGAGTACAAAACCGTAGATAAATGAGGGCTTCAATCTTGGTACATCTGCTCCCAGAAAACACTGCAGCACTGCGAAGAGCTTTTACTCAGCAAACACTCGATACAGCTGCGGTATGAGACATGTGGGAGGACATGTAAACAAACACAGATATAAACGGTACCACTGTAATGGCTGACAGGAGACAACGTCACAGAATCTCACCACCGGACAGTCATGAAACACAAAACATTCATATTTACATCGAGACGTCAAAACCCTCGGAGGGCGGCTCTACACTCGGCCAGGAGGTTTAGTGTGATAAGTTTGTTCTGTAAGGCTGACAGAACTGAATGTACGGAGGGAAAAACATGACAAAAATACGGTGTTCGTCGACCTGAGTGAAGCTGAAATTAAATAAAATTGCTGTCAAGCCCTGGTGCAGAAAAAAAAATCTTTGTGCCACTATAATTTTAAAGATAGCAATACATTTTTTGAAAGGTCAACCTCTGTTTACAAAACAGCAAATTGTGTGCGAATCAACTGTGCTTCAAAATGTTTAGTGACACAAATATACAAAAAAAATTATATAATCTTTGTTTGGTTTAATTAATGTCTGTAGAAAAAAATTTTTAACAGCACAAAAAAATTGCTGAACAAAAGTAGCAATGTTGATTGACGCCATATTTTGTTTGTTTTTGTAAATGTAGACTGGCTGTTTGACCTTTGATGACCTCTGGAAACACATTAATATCTTCAAAATGATAGCAGCACAAAATGTTCTGCACAAACGTTTGACACCAATTTGAAGAATGTCTGCAGCCAACTTCAATCAGGTTGTTGTTCATAGTACTGGTACAAAAGTAAAACAAACTGCAGTAAAAAGAAAAAAAACAAATGTTGCAAACGCAGGAGAAAAAAAATATAAATAACAGTTAAAATACAACCAATGTGTTGGATAATAAATTCTATTCTCTCCTCAGCTAAAATGCAGCAACAAATGATTGTCGTTACTTAAGCATAAACATTCGTAGTAACTAAATACTATATTTATCCCATTTCTACGGAAGAAAAGTAGGGCAATTTAAAAAAAAAAAAAAAAAAAAAAAATCTGACTTTTTTTCTCAGAATCGCCTAAATGCACCATTAGGCAAATCTAATTATAAAACGCAAATCTACCAAATAATTTTAGGACAGTATTTCCAAGAGTGAAGATTTACAAAACTTATAACAAGGAAGAAAAAGTTATGTGATCATTTTTATATCCTAACAAAATAATTGACTTAATTTATGTGGATTTTGACATAACCTGACCGAATTATAATTCTGAGTTTAAAGTCAGAATTCTGAGGAAAAAAGTCAAAAGAATTCTGAAAATAATTCTCAGACAAAGCCAGAATTCCAAGTTCAAAGTCAGAATTATGAAAGAGTTAAAAGAATTCTGAAAATAATTCTCAGAAAAAAGAATTCAGACATTAAAGTCAGAATTCTACGAAGAAAAAAAGTCAGAATTCTGAGAGAAAAAAATAAAATAAAAACTGAAAAAATGTCAGAAAAAGTCAGAATTAAAAAAAAAGAGAGAAAAAAAAGTCAAAATTCTGAGTTAATAATTAGAATTTTACCTTTTTAGTGGCGGCCCTAATCTTCTCCCGTACATTTCAGACTAAATGATCAACAATATTATTTACCCCCACTCCTGGAAGTAGCACTACTGCGTTTAGTGTGGGTCTCTCTGGATAGCGTTTCCACAGTTTCTCCACTCACTGTTTTTTGGCATGAGTGTCTTCCCGTAAAGAGTCAGCAGACAGCGAGGTCCGGTCTCCGTCCTTTAAGTCGTTAAAAAGTGTGACAGTTCAAACTCTTCTCATGTCGAAAACGCGACGCCTACTGAGGTCAAAGCCTGTGATGGCCGAATTGGTGAGCAGTTCGGTGTAACCAAGCCGGTCGGTGACCCGGCGGGTCGGGCCGTCGTTGGTTAGTCGTCGTCTGCAGACATGAGGAAACCCAGGATGAAGTTGATGGCTTTCTGTCGGTCCTGACCCGACTGCCTGCTGACCATGTTGGGCGGCGGTCGGATGAGGAGGCTGGCGAAGAGAGTAGCTGGAAACACAAAACCGTCCATATTAATGTCTTTTATCGTTACAGTAATCATGTTTATTATTATTTTTCATTTATTCTCAATATATATTCTAGGAGTCCTTATTTGTTCAGTTAAATCTCATTATTTTTCTTATTTATAATTCATATTTTATTACTCTCACACTGCATCCTTTTCATTTATTTAAATTACTGCTTACATGTTTATCAACTTCCACTCATTCACTTTTATTCATTTAGCCTCAATCATTTTTTAAATGAATTTCTTTGATTCTCACAAAATAAAATGTTATTGTTAATTTTGTTTTTAATTAAGTCATTCATTCCTGGCTTTAATTTTTGTTAATTAGATTTTTTTCTGCATTCAGCCTAATTCTCATTTAATTTGCTAATTCCAAATTATTCTTGGTCATCTTGGTTAGTTTGTAGATTTCCATCTATTCTTGTTTTTGTTTTTGTTTTTTTACTTTCATGTTCATTTTCAATTTTTATTCATTTTCATCCACTAATTGTTCTTCAGTTTCCTTTTATAAATTTATTAATCACACAAAACAAACATTACAGACAGACAAAAAGCGGTATCAATTTACTAAATGTCAATTCTATTTATTGTTAATTTCCTTTAATATTCTTATTAACCGATTTATTCTCGGTAGTCTCGCATTTTGGTTCTTTATTTCAGATATTCATTCACGTTTATTCATTTTTTATTAAATTATTTTCAATTATTTGTTTTATTTTCTTAATTTAACTTGTTAATTTATAAATATTCATCTGTTCATTTTCATTTTTGTGTATTGATACATTTGTTCTTTCAGTTCTTTTGTCTGTTCGTTTTTATTTTTGCGTATTGATTCATTTGTTCTTGCTGTTGGTCCGTTTCTTACCGATGAGGTTTGCTGTTAGGTTGTTGTTGTTCGAGTGCTTCAGCAGTTCCTTCAGGAAAGACATCAGGTATCGAAACACGTTCCGATGCGGCCGGGAGAGCTGGGAGACCAGCTGTGAACGTCAGACAGACGTTTACTGCAGCAGATTCATCATCACTTCGCTTTGTGTTGCAGAAACAGAAACCTCTGCCTACCTGCTTGCAGAGGCGGCTGTCGTGGGAGCTGTCAAGGCACCGTTGGTAGAGTTCGTAGCAAACCACTGGCTCTGGCAAGGCCTCCAGGAAGATCAGCAGAGCTTCGGCTACAGAGTGGTTGCAACC